ATCTGATATGAATATCAAGATTGAAGCTGTTGTGTCTTGATCATCAAAACCAGTAAGATCCGATGAGGAGGTGGCTTGTTTTGGTTCATTGTTATCATTATTATGATTACTGGTTGAGATATTCATAGCTGATTTCTTTCATTTTCAAACTGCGTTTCTTGAGGGTGGTGTGCCCAGTGGTTCTTTATCTCATTATCTGTTCTTCCAGCAAGATGAGCAGCAATAGCAGACCATCTGCAAATCATAAATCGAGAATCATCAATACCCAAGTTGAGATTCTTTTATATTTTTTGATTTGATGAATCTAAATGATTAACGGGTTTGAAAGATGAAGTTGGAAACCTACTTATTCCCAAGTGTTTCATGTAATCTAAGAATGGTATCTTCTTCTTCCTTGGTGTAATTTCCTCTCTTGATATTAGGCCTTAAATAATTCATCCACCTCAGTCTGCAACTCTTCCCACACCTCGCTAGACCTATCAGATTTTACAAGAGATTTACAGTTAAACGTAGAAACAATGAGTGAAAAACAAGAAAGATTTTGATGAAATCAGAGAGGAAGATCAAGAATGCTAGAGAAGTCGGAAATTTGGAAGAATGCCTCAAGACTCGATATCATATATTATAATTATCGCAAACCCATTAGAAATAGAATTTAGTTAAGATCAATTACCTGCAAATCTTGGAAGTTGGCGCCAGTTCCAGCAACCATATCGAGTAACATAAGCGATGAGTTTCCGATCTTCTTCAGGCGTCCACGTGCCCTTCTTGAGTCCATTCTCGTCGAAGCTCGGTGTCCTCACCATGTTCTCGTTCACTTCACTTCCACTAACTAGTGATCTGTGTTTATGTTGGTTCCACCATTTTGGTGTATCTAACTAGGTCTCCACCTTTTTATACCATTCCAATTTGATTTTCAAAACGTGTTTCACACCCCCATCAATCAATAATTTTTCATTGATTATTCCCAACTTGAATTAACTGAAAAAACCCACATGTGATTTTTGTTCAATTCTGGTTTTTAATTAATGGGAAAGGATTCATCCAAGAACATTCATCACTCTCTTTTACATCATCCAAACGCGGTAAACATTTTTTAAAGAGAACAGACAGTTCAAACTTAATCTTAATATAAGTCTACTTAGTGTATGTATATACAGACCTTCGAGGAAAGAAGGATACATAGTACAGAAAATTATTTATATATATATATATATATATATATGTATCATCCGTGTGTTTGATCGGTCAACGTCTAATGTTGGAATGAAGTCAAGTTCAATCACCTCTATAATTAGCACATGTTCATCTTGTTCATATTTTTTTAAACATGGATGATCTAAGACCTCCTTGTCTTTTTTTTTTTTTTTTTTTTTTTATCATCTTCTAATCCATAAAAATCATTTAATTATAATTCCTACTTCCATCTTTCTAGTCATCCAAGTTCCGCGCACCTTCTTAATTTTAAACTCTCATTAGCATATCATCTTTAGATTTGCTCGTTTTTATTATGTCTACTATTGAAACTATCGAAGGAAAAAATAAATATTGATATAATTTTTTGATCTTTTTTCTTAGAGTTTATTTATATTTTCTTTCTTTTATAGTTCCGATAACATTATTTTCTTATTTGTTTCGATATTTCATTTTTATAATTCATTTATTGAAAAATTATAAATGTCTTTAAATTATTTAGTTAAATATACGATATAATTAATATTTACTATCACATAACGAAATATATTTTCAATTATAAGAACAAATTTCAATTTTTTTTTATCATGAATCCACATTTCATTTTACAATTGTTATAACCTTTGAGAAATAATCTAAAGTCAATTCTCCTGTCTTCCTACGTAAAGTTGAGTTTATTCTTATTCTTTCTTTTCTTTAGTTTCTACATTTTCTTCAAAGCAGTTGCATAAGATTTGCTAGTTCTTACTACCCTTAGTTGATCTCCTCCATTCCTCAATCCTCTTCTTAATTTGGCATCTAATCTTCTAATCTCTTCCCATTTACTAAACCCATTACTATGAAAAGTTCTCCAGAATTTCTGCTCAAACTCTCTCCATTATTAATTTACTTTCAAAAGTACTTACATACACATTGTATATACCATGTTCTTCACAAAAAAAAACAAAAGAAAAGGCCTCGTACTTCACATGATCAAGACAAAATCAATGAGGACCAGAAACTTAATAACCCAGATGGATCGCACCATGCTTGGCCTTGAAATAAATTTGGGTTAATCTGAAAACACGTTTACATGGGAACGTGACTTTTGGAAAGCATGAATTTGGTGGGATGTGATGGAACCCACTCTGACTTGCCCAGATGGAAAGGGTTTTCTCAGGCCGTCAACTTCATTTTGACAAGATGATCAACCAGTTACCTCATAAATTATAATATATATATATATATATATATATAAACATATCTAAAAAAAATCATGAAGAATCCTCTCAGAATATCCACGTGTATCTATCTAATATATACATATCTTATCTTGTTAAGAGAACCTTAATCAAATATTGCCAAAGCCTCGAGTGAGTATGTAGATTACATATACATGTATTGAAAAAACTCTTGGGAGATAGATTAAATATTGTTAATATTTTGTTAGAAACGAGAGAAAGAAGATCAAGAGACTAATAAAAAATTTTCATTCTTCATGTATAATTATAAAAAAATATTTAAATATACGGGTATATATAGAAACTACCATAATTTTAAAATTTTTAAATATATGTACTATAATTAAATTTAATTTGAAATTATAATTAAGTTTAATACACGAACTATTTGATAAAACCCAAAAATTCATATGCATAACTTTAATTTGTTAGTAAGATAAAAAAATTTCTTGATCTATAAATTATTATTTTCAACAATATATATGTTCTTATTGAAATATGTATACAAATTGGATACTTAACAATAAGTAAAAAACTAGTGGAAGAGAATTTAAAGGTGCAAAATTTTCTTGGGGAGCTTTAATACTCTCTCTCTTGTTAAGAAAAGGGCTCTTAGGTTTGAATTGTGTGGGTTGAGAAAGTGTGAGAACAAGAGCTTTTAGGATTCATTGTGGGTTTGAAAAGTGTAAATGACACTTGGGTTTTTTATTTCTGAATTATGGAAGCATGTTCTAGGTTAAAAAATTTTTGATTCAGAAGGAAATTTTGGTCACTAATAAGTTATATGTTTATCTACTGTTTAAAATTTTTATATTTTATTTAAAATGTACGAACTCGAACATCACTGAAAATGAAAAGTTCGATACTGAACATAAGTATTAAAAAAAACGACTCATTAATCTGCTCCATCCATAAATGAGAAAGATGAAAACTCGCAATACACGAAGTATGAGAACAATATATATATATAAAAAGTTACGTAACTCGAAACAAAAATGAACAAGTATGAATTTAATGATTTAAATATTTTTACACATGTCTGTTAAATATATAATTAATAAATTTTTAGTTTCACTAAAATTAATTAAATTTTGTTTAGTAAATATCTAATGTTTTTATATTTGTATTATAAGTATTATATTTAAATATTATTTTTATTTAACTAATATTTGGTGTATTTAATTAAAATTACTCAAATATTTTATAGAATTATTTAAAATTATGAGAGTAACTAATAAAAAAATTTACAAAGACGGATGGTGGTAAAAGATTTTTTGTCCACCTCGGGTATGGGGCAAGTAGTCCACTTCGAGTATGGGGCAAGTATAGAGATTGACGTATCTGTTCTAAACTGAAAATTTAATTCACTATTTTATTAATAAGATTACAAAAATTAAATTAGGGTAAATTTTAATAGACCTATTATATTTATATTGAATTAAAAAATTAATATCTTATTACGATTAGATTTTTTTAATTAAATATATTAAATTATTCAATTGTCCATTTTTTTTCATCTCTTCTTTTCTTGTTTTTCATATAAAAAATGAACTATAAGTCCTATTTATCTAAATTATTTTAAATTTTATTGTAATTAAATTGAGTAAAAAGAATTAAATATTGTATAACTAATTTTCATAAATTTCTTGATAGATCTCCTTAAATTTCTTGAATTTACATAAAACCAATCAAATACCTTCCCGGAGTTGTTAGTTAGATTTCAATGAATTAGAA